ACAATACCTGGGAATAAACTTAAGAGTTATGCAAGATGATCAAAATTTTAAAATGCTGCAACTAAACTAGATGGGAAACTTGACTAAATGGAAAGGCTTATCATGATTTTTGGTAGCCAAGCATAGCATTATTAAGAAGCCAATTCTCCCCAACATATCCATAAATGTAATGCGCTCTCAATGAAATACCAACTGGTTTTTTGTTTTGTTTTGCTTTGTTTTAACTACTCCAGCTGATTCTAGAGTTGACATGGAAAAAGAAACATTAAGTTTTGTCCTGGAAATGTTTTAAAAGAAATATAATAGGGGCTGGACGTGGTGGCTCACACCTGTAATCCCAACACTCTGGGAGGCTGAGGTGGGCGGATCACCTGAGGTCAGGAGTTCAAGACCAGCTTGGCCAACATGGCAAAACCCTGTCTCTACTAAAAATACAAAAATTAGCCAGGTGTGGTAGTGGGTGCCTGTAATTCCAGATACTTGGGAAGCTAACGCGGGAAAACTGCTTGAACCCGGGAGGCGGAGGTTGCAGTGAGCTGAGATCAATACCACTGCACTCCAGCCTGGGTGACACAGCGAGACTCCAACTCAAAAAAAAAAAAAAAGGAAAAGAAATATAATAAGGAGAGCACTTGCCTTACCAGATACTAAATATATTCTAAAGTTACATTAACATAAATCATACAGTACTCATGCAATAAACAGACAGATCATGGCATGGGGAGAAAACTTAAAAAACAAACACAAGGACATATGGCAAATTAGTGAATAATCAAGCTGGGATCTCCAATCTGTGGAAAAAGATTATTTTATAGGCAGCTTAGGGACAATATGGGAACCATTTGGGAAAAAATAAAGTTGAAATCATATTTCGTATCTAACACCAGAATAAACTCCAAATGAATCAAAGATTTATATGTGAAACATGGGACCATAAACTTACCAAAAAAAAAAAAAAAAAAAACTGGGAGGGTTCTTTCTCATCATCCCAGCTGGGGAAGACCTTTCTAACTATGACAGAAAACTAGAAGCCATAGAAAGAAATATTGACAAATTCGACAATATCAAACAAAAGTCCACGTAGTAAAACCACCATAAACAAAGTTGTTTATTTTTTTAAAGAGACAATCTAGGGGAAGATGATATTTACAACTTGTATCACAGACTAATGAGCAAATAGAAACATTGGCAGTGGATATGAAAAGGCAGTTCCCAGAAAAAGAAATTATTCTCAAATATATTTTAAAAGCTTCATCTCATTATTAACTAAAGAAATGCAAGTAAAAACTATGAGATACTATCTCCCATCTTGAAGTTCAAAAATGTCAAAATACACTCTGTTTCGGTGTTGGCAAAGGCTCTGGAACATTCCCGGCAAAAGTGGAAATAAATTGATACAAACTTGCTGGAGAGTAATTTCTCAAAAACGTCAAAAATTATAAATGTGTATGTTCTTTGACCAACCAAATTCATTTCTGGGAATTAATCTCATGTATATATGTATATATCTATACATGTGTGTGTGTATATATATACACACACACACGCAAAATGACATATGTACACAGTTATTCAATGCATCATTGCTCATTATATCAAACAATAGTGAACAACTAAATATCTATTAATAAGATCCACTTTGAGGCATTTGGATCGTACACACACATAAATAAAATAATGGTTAAATTATGGTAAACTTATCCAGTGGAATAGTATATAGCCATAAAACAATAAAGGAGATTTTTTTAGTTTTTTGTTCTTTATGCACTAAAATTCAGTAACCTCCAGGATATATTGTTAAGTGAAAAGAGGAAGTTGCAGAACAATGATATGACTATTCATTCTACTATTTGTAGAAAAAAACAAACGAAAAGAATATATACACATATTTGAAGGTATATGTAAAATGAAATGGTAGAAGTCATACGTGTTGTCTTGGAGAAGAAGCCTGGGATAGTGATGCCTGGGATAGTGATGGGAGCAAAATTTTCACTATATACCCTTTGAATTTTTGAATTTGAACCATGTGGATGCATTATCTACTTTTTAAAAATCGGTAAACACAATTTCAAAAGAATTTGCAGGATACAGAGAGTGACAAGACAAGCAAAAATAATAGTTGTGACTAAAATGCATAAACATCAGCGCGCGAACAGCCTCGGCGTGGGCTCCCGATCAGCAGATGGAGGAGAAAAGTGTGACTTCAGTAGCATAATATGATGGAAGGAGCTTGGAATACAAAGCTTTAGAAGCATAATTTCCAGAAAAGACTTAAAAACATGATTATCTTCCAGATTAAATGAGCACTTGCCAAAGATTTCATTTAATTTATTAATCCATAAAGGGAATCAGTAAGATGAGAAAGCTGAGGCCCAGAGCAATTGAGGAAGCAGGGTTTTTATAGCCCGTAGGGAAAGGCACACCACAGGAAGTTTTTTAAAGTCAGGGACAAATCTAGTTAATGTTCCACAGGACAATAAAGTATAGATTACCCTTGCTAATGGACAGAAATCATTTGCTTCCCTACCGGATCCATATCTACAAGTTAACAGGCAACTTCACAGAGCTGAGCCCTTAATTGCAAATAACAAGGTCAGTTGGGATATTTATTATCCTAGAGACAAAATCAGCTACACAATTTGCTGGACCCAATGCAAAAAAAATTCAGAGGCCTTTGTTCAAAAATTATGAAAAATTTAGGCCGGGCATGGTGGCTCATGCCTGTAATTCCAGCACTTTGGGAGGCTTTGGCAGGCAGATCACTTGAGGTCAGGAGTTCAAGATTACTGGTGAAACCCCATCTCTACTAAAAATACAAAAATTAACTGGGCGTGGTGGCAGATGCCTGTAACCCCAGGTACTTGGGAGGCTGAGGCAGGAGAATCACTTGAACCTAGGAGGCCGAGGTTGCAGTGAGCCGAAATGATGCTACTGAACTCCAGCCTGGAAGACAGGAGTGAAACTCCGTCTCAAAAAAAAAAAAAAAAAATTAGAATTTCAAGACAGCAACAGCTGAGCATTAAACAAATTAGGCCCCCCCTAAACTCAGCGTTCTGAGTTTAGGATCATTGTGCCACAGGTTGCATGCCCAAGAAGCTGACTTTGCCTACAGAACTAAATAATCGTTAGAAGAGTTTTTAAACAGTGCCCCAGTGTGACATTGAGAGGACATGCAGTCACTCTCCCCCTTTATTTCCAAGTTTTGCATAATTTTTCTTTACAGAGTCAAAAGAACCACTTCCTAGTTGTGTGGTTTTGGGTAAGTTACTTAACCTCTGCAACGCTCCATCACTTGGCTGGTAGATGAGAATTATAAATAATCCTTGCCCTGTATAATTCAAGGGGTTTTAATGATTACTAAATAAGACAGGCATTTGACAGTTTTGTGCAATAAGTTTTATACAAACCTTTACAAATACTTTGTATCAGCACGTAGTTTTGGCATCCCAGCCTGGTATTCTTATAGATTCTCTTTGGAGAGTCAGTTCTCCTAGCTTAGTCGGAGAAACGTTCCTGGGAAAAATGACCTCCGATTTCATTGTAAAGAGAAGAAACATGATGTGGTTGTCAGGAGGTGAGAGCTTGTCTCAAACATAAGTGACTGTTTGGACAAAAGCTTGGAGAAAGAAAGGGTGAGCCCATCCCAGGAGACCACGAAATAGCCAGCCTTAGGGTCTGACAGGAAATGGGAGACCAGTCAGGTGGGCAGAGAGTGCAGAACCCTAAGAACTCATCTACCCCAGGGGACATCGGGCAGCTCCCATCACATTCTCCGCAAATGCTCCTAATGACAGAAGAAAGAAAATACCTCTTTCAACAGGTCACTAGAATTGGGACACTTCTTTAAATTCTTGTGTTTATCTTCATAAGTTCATTAAAATTTTATATTCTATTTCATCATATACTCACAATTATTTTAATACTAAAAATAGCAATCCCCCAGGAAAAAAGAGTCTCTGGTAAAATTGAATCCCATCAAAGTGTTCCATAATTCTTTTGTGGTTCCCCTAATCCAAGAGACTGAAGTATCTCAGTCTGAAAACCACTGTTCTATGGCATTGCTCATGACACCTCGATGATAAAGGCACCAAAAAGTCCACACTTGGCTGAGGCCCTTTTGGCACTTTAGGGACCGGGAATCCTTGGATGAGGATCAAAAGAAGACATGCCTTGAGCAGAGATTCCACTCCCCAGCCACGGTCATGCCCAGACTTCTCGGCAGCCGTTTCCCTTTGCATACTCTCCCACCCGAGTGCCTTCCACCTCACCTCTTCTTGACTGGCTTAAGGATATTTATGACTACTTGAGTTTTTCCAAAATTCCTTCACCCTCCTTCGTTTGCCCCTCTAGTTTTTCTACTCCATAATTGGGCATGGAAGTGGAGCAGAATAAACCGGGCAGAGAAAGGGGAAGGGGAGCTGCAGACTCAGAACAGAGCGATTTCCAAGAGAAGGCGGGATGGGAAGCCAGAGCAGTTTCCACAATCTGTGACTTGCAGACCACCCAGACTCCAAGCCTCCCAGCTCTGACGATAGCGCCTACCTACTGCACTAAGCCCCTTGAACCGTGCACATATTTCTGCTCTCTAGAGCTTTACCCCCCCGACAGATTAGAATATTATTTGTTTATCATTAGGATCAGGCTACTGGATGCAGAGCATACTCTAGGAAGCACAGATCGCAGCCCTTTTATTTTTAACTGATCCGGGGATGGGCTTCTTTGCATTGCCCTTTGTTAAAGTCTGCATATGTTGCACAGATACTTGGTGACAATTTTAAGGGGCAAAATAAATGACTGCTTCTTTGTGTTTAAAAGAGGAATTAAGCTGGGCGTAGTAGCTCATGCCTCAAATCCCAAAATTTTCTGTTGTTGAGGAGGGAGGATTACTTGAGTCTAGGAGTTTAAGGCTAGTCTGGGCAACATAGAGAAATCCCCATCTTTAAATTTTAAAATAATAATAATAAATAAAATTGGAATTAAAGGTAAACTGATGAGTCTTCCTTAATCCCTTCTTCCCATCTTCAGAGCTTATTTTTATTGCCAGCAAAGGGGCTGCTGGACTGGAAAATAGGAGCTTAGAATGGCCAGTCTGATATTTTCTCCTGATTTGCTTCAGAATGATGGAGGTTGAGGAGGGGGTTCCGGATAAAGATGGAGCAGATGAAACTGATCAGCCTGGCATAGATAATTGTCAAAGTTAGGAGTTGAAACACAGAGGTTTCACTGTCCTATTTCATTTTAGGTTTAACATTTTTTTTAAAGTTTTTTTAAATTCCTGCTCTCATGGAGCTTATATTCTCTCTGAAAACAGGCAGTGTGAGAGAATCGCGACACAGCAGGATGCATGGGGCTGGTGCCCAGCTTTCTTTGGCTCTGCTCTGTCCTTTGCCCATGACCAGAGCTTCACCATCACCTCTCTGCAGAAGGCTCCATGCCGGAGACTCTTGCCTTTACCTCTCTGCCCAACTCCTGCCAGACTGGGGCCCACATAGTTCTTTCTTCTCCGACTCCAAAAAAAGTAAAGGAAGAAAACCAGGACCACTAGATTCTCACCTATGGGATCGGCCTTGCAGTCAGTAGTCAGGACCAATTCTGAGCAGACAAAAGCTACTCTTCCCTGCTAGACGAATGGCTAAGACCAGAAGGAGAAGAGAAACTTTAAAAACAGATGTCCAGGCTCTACCCCAGATATGATGAAGCCGACTTGGGGTGGGGAGAAACGATGTGTCATTTTGAGACTCCCCTTGAGACTGCTGCATTGCCAGGTTTGGGAGCCCCTGCAGCAGACCCGTGCTCGGTCTCGGGTTGCTAAGGCAGCCAGTCTGACCTCAAAGAACATCTCCACTCTAAAAGTTTGGTGCAAACTGCTGTTCCACCTCAGACACACACTATGGCCAGGTTGGTCTCGAACTCTTGACCTCAAGTGATCCGCCTACCTCGGCCTCCCAAAGTGTTGGGATTACAGGCGTGAGCCACTGCACCCAGTTGAGATTGCCTTTGAGAAGAGAATTGGATGGTTGGGGATGGAGAGGAGGCAGAGCTCTGTTTACTGTGCCTGGCCAGAACCATAATTCTTCTTGTCATCCTGGCTTAAAATCAAAGTCATGATTGACCTCTCTCTATCCTCCACCATCTCCTATGCCCCTCTCTAATCAATCAAAAAAATCTCTTTACTCTCTATTCAAAAATTTACCTTTGTCATCTCTTTCTTCTAGACACCTGGCCTCTTTACCTCTCACCAAGAATACTGAAAGCCTTACAGATAAACTTTCCATCTCCAGTTCCTCCCCAGCCTTTCTCTCCACCCTCCCCCAACTCTCCTTCCCCCACTTCCAATCCCGTTCCTTTCCTTCAGGTGTTTACAGGTAAATCCAATCCATCTTCCTTTGACTGTGTTGCTCCCCATGTCAAAAACCCTTAATAACTTCTTTGTCTACTGGACTTCCATCCCCTTCTTACTTTTGAGCAGAAATTGTACCTATCCTTCAATGCCCCAATTTCAACGTCACCTTCTCCATGAAGACTTCCATGGTCACTCCTGACAGATGTGACCTCGTGCTCCTGGACCCCAAGATGAATGTACTTGTCTTATGACAGTTCTCCCACTCGTTCTTACTAAAGTTATTGATTATGTTCATAACTCCCTTACCAGACCATAAGTGTCATTAGGGTATGTTTCTTTATTCTTTTTTTTTTTTTTTTTGAGACACAGTCTCACTCTGTCACCCAGGCTGGAGTGCAGTGGCATGATCTTGACTCACCGCAACCTCTGTCTCCCGGGTTCAAGCAATTCTCGTGCCTCAGCCTCCCAAGTAGCTGAGATTACAGGCATGCACCACCACATCTGGCTAATTTTTGTATTTTTTGTAGAGAAGGAGTTTTGCCATGTTGGCCAGGTTGGTCTCAAACTCCTGGCTTTAAATGATCCACTCACCTTGCCTTCCAAAATGCTAGGATTACAGGCGTGAGCCACCACGCCCAGCTAAGTATGGTTCTTTACTCTTCTTTACATCCTCTACTGTGTCTAGCCTAATGCTTTGCACTAAAGAAGCTGCTCAAAAGCTGTAAGTGTTGACAAACTGAGTTAATGAAGACACTGTCTTTTTGTTTTTGTGTTTTTAATTGTCTCACTCTGTCATCCAGGCTGGAGTGCAGTGGTGTGATCTCAGCTCACTGCAGCCATGATCTCCCGGGCTCAAACAATCCTCCTATCACTCCAGCTTCATGAGTAGCTGGGACTACAAGCGCACGCCACCATGCATGGTTAATTTTGTTTTTTGTAGAGACTGGGTCTCACTATGTTGCCCAGGCTAGTTTCAAATTCCTGAGCTCAAGAGATCCTCCCACCTCAGTCACCCAAAATGCAGGGATTACAGGTGTGACCCACCACCCACGGCATGAAGAAATTAATAATAGGTTATACTGAAGAGTGGAAGATTGATTGGCACCTGTCACAGCCTTGCTCATTCTTAAATATCAAAATAGTTCCATTCTGGTTGGGAAGTTTAGCTGCTACCCTGGGCCCCTCAGCTGCCCTGGATCCTCCTCTGAGAGCCCCTGGACCCCTTGTCTGATCCAGCACCTCAAGAGATAATACCTGACACAGCAGAAACTCTTGAGAATGTCATTGATGGCTCCACAGTAATTTCAATATGACCCCTGGGGAAAAGCAACATCGTAATTAAATAGAGTTAACCAAGTAGACTTAACACAGGATACTCTACCTATGCACAAAAAGAACTAGAAAAATAGATACGGTTCCTGCACATTCCAGAACAGGAACATTCCAGTAGCTAGAGGACATATGAATGTGTGTGTGTGATTACTACTGAAATGTGGGTTGCTATCATTATTAGTAGTAATAATAACAAGAATAACCAGCATTTACTAATGCAATTTTCACAAGAACTCTTGGAAGCAACTGTTATTACCTCATTTTACAAGTGAAGAAGGAACCTGAGGACCAGAGAGGTCATACTGTACCCAAGTTCCCACAGGAAGAACACAGCCATCTGAGTTCACAGAGCTTCTTGTCTATTTCATACTGCTTCTGTCCCAGACAGCAGTGACACTGTGCACCTCAGAAGGAAGGCAGAAAGCAGAGAGAGAGAGAGAGAGAGAGAGAGAGAGAGAGAGAGAGAGAGAGATAGAGATTGAGAAATTAGGGGAGGGAAGGAAAGAGAAAGAAGCAAAGAAGAAAGAAAGGAAGGGAGGAAGGAAGGGAAGGAGGGAGGGAAAAGAGGGGAGGGAGGAAAAAAACAAACTTATAAGCAAAAAGCATGGACATTTTGAGGACTTCATGGGCCTTTGAGCCCCCACACGTCATATTAAACATATTAAAATACACTCAATCTCATTATTTTTTTAACTATAAAAATACTGCAGTATTTTTTATAATTTTACTTTTGAAATTTGGCCCAACAACGATTTCTCGACAATCACTGTGCATAATCAGGAATTCTTGCAATGAGAAAAAACTCGCCTGTAAATTGTTGTCAAATGTGTAAAAATCTTGTAACAATCAATGTACCCATTAATGAACATGACATCGCATGTCTTTCTAGACCTACTTCTTAGCAAGTGAGGTGCTTGTTCATTTCAGTGTAGTTCTTTCACATTTTTAGATCTTGAACTCAATCCCTAGAGATAAACAGTCCTGGTTGCCAGGGTTCGAATACGTCAGAAGGGCACAACGATGACTTCACAGGGATGCTTGAGGTTACCATGGAAATGCTGTCGGCTCCCTCTCCCCAAGTCATCTTCACACATCTTCATGTGGGAGGCAGGCATTTGCTTCCATGATGGAGTTGACTCCATCTCCCAAAAGGCCTCCTCTGGAAATTCCCTCCCCGTGTTAGATCTGGCAGAGCCACTGGGAGACAGAGCAGCAGAGGGACCCGAGTGACACTAGGTGAGAAGCTGTGCGGCCAGACGACTTGAGCCTGGTGAGCTCCCTGCCTCACCCATCCCTGGGCCCAGAGGGAGAGACACAGAGTGGTTACCAGTGAACACTGTTTACTGGGCCAACCTGAGCGCATTCCGAGCCCAGGCTGCAGTCAAAGACGACACTAAACAGTCTTCCTTTGCTTTTCAGGTTGCTATGACAGCCAGGAATTTGCAAACCAAACCAGACCTGGAGAAGGAGTCTGTCCTTGGCCCAAAAAGTCTGCAGTTCCAAATGGTCCTGCTCAAGGTCCCTGTTGTCTTCTTTGACACCTGCCAGATGGAAGAACCTCTAAACCTGGGATTTGGAAATGTCCCAACAGAAAGGCTATTTCCAAGCTGGCTGAAGCTGTGTTTAACGGAATTGAGGTGTGATAGAAGGAACTTCTTGGCAAGAAAAACTGGAAAATATTACAATAGGTCCCAGAGAGAACCTCATTATCTTCTCGAAAAAATTTTTATATTTGTTTAGTGTTCTGTGGTTTGCTAAGCACATTCACATAAATTATCTAATTGGATCTTCATATCCGCCCGGTGAAGGAGTAAAAATAGATATCATAATACTTGACCAAAGACAAGGAAAATGAAGTTCAATAAAAACAAGATCAAACAGCCAACAAGCAACAGAGCTGAGATTCGAATCGGGTTTTCCGACTGTAAATGTAGCTCTTTTGATTCTATTATGATAATCCCCCAAAATATAAAAGAGATCACATCTGAGCTGGACAGCTTAGAAACAGGTTTTTTTCTAAAATAAAGTGATGTTGTAGATAAATTTTTTGTGGTAAAATACACATGATGTAAAATTTACCACTTTAATCATTTTTTTTTTATTTTTTTTTTGAGATGGAGTCACACTCTGTCGCCCAGGTTGGAGTGCAGTGGTGTAATCTCAGCTCACTGCTACGTCCGCCTCCCAGGTTCAAGCAATTCTCTGCCTCAGCCTCCCCAGTAGCTGGAATTACAGGTACGTACCACACCCTGCTAATTTTTGTATTTTTAGTAAGACGGGGTTTCACCATGTTGGTCAGGCTGGTCTCGAACTCCTGACCTTGTAATCTGCCCGCCTCAACCTCCCAAAGTGCTGGGATTATAGGTGTGAGCCACCATACTCAGTCGCACTTTAATCGTTTTTAAATGTACAGTTGACAGGCATCAAGTACATTCATTATCGTGCAACTGTCACCACCATCTCTCTAGAACTTCTTCATCTTCTCAAACTGAAACTCTATACTCTTTAAATAATAACTCCCCAAGCCCCTCCTCTCGCCCCTGGAAACCATCATTCTACTCTATGAATTTGACCACTCTAGGTAACTCATATAAGTGGAATTACACAGTATTTGGCCTTTTGTGACTGGCTCATGTCACTTAGTATAACGTCTTCAAAGTTCAGCCATGTTGTAGCATGTATCAGAATTGTCTTCCTTTTTAAGGCTGAGAATATCCAATTGTAAAGATATACCACACGTTGGCTATTCATTTATCAGTATATGGCCACTTGGGGTTGCCTCCACCTTTTGGCTATTGTGAATAATGCTCCAATAAACATGGATGTACGAATATTTCTTTGGGACCCTGATTTCAATTCTTTTGGGTATATACCAAGATATAGAATTATTGACTCATACAGTAATTCTATTTTTAATATTTTAAGGAATTCCTATACTACTGTTTTTCATAGAGCCTATGCCTTCTACATTTCCAGCAAAGGTACACAAGGGTCCTAGATTTTCCACAGCCTTGCTAACATTTGTTACTCTCTCTCTTTCTCTCTCTATATATGCAATCCTGGTGGGTATATAAATGAATGTTTTTTAAACATGAGGTTATCCAAGTTGGTTCATTCAGCTCAGTTAGAAAATAGTCCTAGTGGGCCGGGCATGGTGGCTCACACCTGTAATCCCAGCAGGTTGGGAGGCCAAGGCCAGTGGATCACCTAAGGTCAGGAGTTCAAGACCAGCCTGACCAACATGGTAAAACCCCGTTTATACTAAAATTACAAAAAAAATTAGCCAGGTGTGGTGGGTAGTGTGCACTTGTAGTCCCAGCTACTTGGGAGGCTGAGACAGAATTGCTTGAACCCAGGAGGTGGAGGTTGCCGATATCGTGCCACTGCACTCCAGCCTGGGTGACAGAGTGAGACTCTGTCTGAAGAAGAAAGAAAGAGAGAGAGAGAGAGAGAAAGAAAGAAAGAAAGAAAGAAAGAAAGAAAGAAAGAAAGAAAGAAAGAAAGAAAGAAAGAAAGAGAGAGAGAAGGAAGGAAGGAAGGATGGAAGGAAAGAAAGAGAAAGAAAGAAAAAAGAAAGAAAGGAAGGAAGGAAGGAAGGAAGGAAGGAAGGAAGGAAGGAAAGAAAGAAGAGAAAAGAAAAGAGTCCTAGTGAAACCAGGTTAGCTTCTACCTGACATGCCAGCCCCAACCCCAGCCACAAATCTCACCGAAGCATTCCACTGGTCTCCAGAGAAAGTACTCAGATAACTTGAGCATATCCATGACTTGCTTTTAGGGATAATGAACTCAAAGTACATATCCTACTCATAGGAATTTCATGTCTTCAATATGAGCAAGAATTCATCATACAGATTCATGTTACATAAAGGCATCTCCCACCACATCTGGAGGGTAGGTGTGCGAGTCTACGTGGGTGAAGATGAGTGAGTGTTCCAAGAAGGATTACATAGCTGAGAGGATCAGCAGGTTCTCTTCTCAAACAATTCAAACTTTGGGAAGTTCCTTTGTGTCTATGAGGTGGCTTCTTTATCTTTATCCATCTCTGCTCACTTCAGAGGCATGAATTAGACTGTATCTTTAAAGGGCTTCATAAGATGGTGCTTTGTGATTAAGAGGCGGGATGATATCTGATCATCTCCAGAGTTATTACATCACCTGGCAAGAATCATCAGATTCCCCATAATGCAGTTTGGAAGAGTGAAGGAGCTCAGGGCATCTGCGACTGGGACTGGCAATCACGTCCGAATCTCTCAGCCTTGGGTATTCAAGTCCTATCAACCTCAAATGCCCCCTCCTCCATGAAGCAGTCCCTGATCGCTACACAGGAAGAAATAGTTACCCTTGAAATTCAACAGCTCTTCATCTCTGCCTTTATCAGGGCAATGACTGTGTTTTGTCTTAGATTTATGGTTATTTAAGAGTGCATTATATATCCTAAGAAAATTAGCCCTTTAGGGACTAAATCCAGTTCTGGTTTGCACGGAGTATAAAGCAAATATTTCCCCTAAGCTCCCTAGCAGACTTCTCTTATCCATTGATAAGACTGCTTGGCTAGAGTCCTGTCACATGGCCTTCCCTGGGGGCAAGGAGGCCTGGAAAGCAGATGTCTGACCTTTTAGCTTCTATGGTGGAGGTAGGCAAGAGAGGGTCTTAGGAACCGGGCTGCGTGAGCCAGTCAACAGTGTCTTTCGGACCTGTCCTTGTGCTGGGCACATCCTCCGGGAAGTCAGGGGAGAGGCCCCACCACGAGTCTTGGGCCCAGCTCCTGTTCCCTCTGTGTCTGCTCTGTCTGTCATGGAGCTCCACACCAGTTTGAAATGGATTGATTCTCTACAACACGGGGTACAGAGAAGCACGACCGACTCAAGTCAGGTCCTGCCAGTTCCTGCAAGCTACACTCCTTTATCATGCTCACCTCACATTCATAAAGAACTTAAGTTGACAAAGCACTAGCTTCCCTATTTTCTTTCTTTCTTTTTTTTTTTTTTTTTTGAGACGGAGTCTCACTGTGTCGCCCAGGCTGGAATGCAGTGGCCGGATCTCAGCTCACTGCAAGCTCCGCCTCCCGGGTTTACGCCATTCTCCTGCCTCAGCCTCCAAGTAGCTGGGATTACAGGCGCCCGCCACCTCGCCCGGCTAGTTTTTTGTATTTTTTAGTAGAGACGGGGTTTCACCGGGTTAGCCAGGATGGTCTCGATCTCCTGACCTTGTGATCCACCCGTCTCGGCCTCCCAAAGTGCTGGGATTACAGGCTTGAGCCACCGCGCCCGGCCTCCTATTTTCTCCAGATACATAACTGAGACCTAACATACATAACGCACATACATAACAGAACCTCATACAGAGCGGTTCATCGTTTATTCAAGTTGACTCAGTAGGTGACAGTATGGGAGAGGCTGCATCCTGGTCTCCTGACGTCGCCCCTCATGCTCTATCCAGCATCCTCCACTGAGTCTTGGATACTGGTTTCAGGCCATGGCTGGCATATCCCCCACTCCACCTCCTGGGACAGTGTCATCAGGAAAGGTGCACATCAATGCAAGAGGCTGCAAGACTGTTCTGAGTGTATGTCACGCATCTGTGCGTGTGCGTGTGGTGGGTGGGAAGACGGGGGACGCTTCTCCTCCCCTCCCATCTCCTCAGCCTGGCCATCGCTGCCATCAGTCTTGTCACTGAGCAGCTGCAAGCAGCTGCTGACAGCTCCCAGCATCTCAGCCACAAAATAAATGAGTTCCCTGCAGGCAGGACACCAGTGGCATAATGAGGCCTCGCATAGATTCTTCTTGGTTTTATTTTATGGCTTCTAATGAGCTTCATCCAATACAAAAAAAAAAAAGCCCAGCTCTTCCCTGGGCCCGGTCTCACCTGTTTCTGCCAGCAGACACCGTGAGTTTTTTATTCTCATTCCCGACCTTTGAGGAAGAGGCAGGGTCACTCTGTGTGGTAATCTTCCACACTCTAGAAGGAGAATGGGGCTGGTCGCTAGGCAACCTGCTTTCCAGCTTGACTCTGTCTCTAACTTGAGTTTGACCCAGAGATAGCACATCTCCCGGCTGGGATTCAGTCTACAAAGTGAGGAAGTTACACCAAAAGGAACTCTAACAGCCTGCCCAGCTTGATAGTGGACACAGCAGCTGCATAGAGGTGGAACAAATGCAGACTTACAGACTGGAGACACATTTTTTAGGCTGAATGAATGAAAAGTACATGAGCGCTTATGCTAGCTGAGGACAGCTAGCTGCCGTTGTCCAGCTGGGAAGATAGGAAGATTCCGGTCTGTGGTTTGGTGGTCTGTGTTCTCTGCCACGTGCTTACATGTCAACAAAGGGAAACATGCTGCTGGATTTTCAGAAAAATCACCAAGGGGTCTGGCTGGAGAATGAAGCCAGACATGCGTCTGGTCACCTACCTGATGGCTTCTCCCTTCGGGGAGAGGTTGCTCACGATCACAGCAGGTCAGCACAAGACAGCAAGGGCACTGAACGAAGAGTCACGCTGGGGTTCTTATAACTTTTGTGCTACCAACTAGCTAGTTGGCCCTAGCCATGTTGCCGTCCCTCTCTGCACTTGTGTCGTTTTCTGTAAAATATAGAGGTTTGATTGAATGTCTCTGATGTCTCCTTCAATCTAACAATCTGAAATGTATTGCCTGTTCTTATTCCTGTCTCATTTGGCTCCCTTATGAAGACAGCTTGTCTAGTGGGTAATTCTGAGTATCATTAACCAAAGAAAAGCCTGCTTTTGATCTCAACCCAGAGTTGGGGACTGATGTGAGGGAAGAGAGAACATGAAAACACTTTTTACTCTTTTTACTACTCCTTTTGCTGTGTGTTTCTAAGGAAGTCACTAGACTTCAATTCCCCGCCTAGAGGAAGGAGATGTTATCGTCCCCTTTCTCTGAGAGGTGAAAGGACCCCTGAAGATCCAGTTACAATGTATCCTGGAATCATGGCATGTTTTGTTGCATTAATTAAGGGGGAAGAGAGAAGGGCATCACTTGCTGAGCAACAACAGTGTGCCTGCCCTATCCTAGGTTCCTTCCTTCCTTCCTTCCTTCCTGCCTTCCTTCCTGCCTGCCTGCCTTCCTTCCTTCCTTCCTTCCTTCCTGCCTGCCTGCCTGCCTGCCTGCCTGCCTGCCTTCCTGCCTGCCTTCCTTCCTTCCTTCCTTCCTTCCTTCCTTCCTTCCTTCCTTCTTTCTTTCTTGTCTCACCCTGTTGCCCAGGCTGGAGAGTGGCACGATCTCAGCTCACTGCAACCTCCACCTCCTGGGTTCAAGCGATTCTCCCGCCTCAGCCTCCCAAGTAGCTGGGACTACAGGCACGTGCCACCAGGCCTGGCTAATTTTTTGTATTTTGAGTAGAGAGGGGTTTGTACCATGTTAGCCAGGATGGTCTCGATCTCCTGACCTCATGATCCACCCGCCTTGGCCTCCTAAAGTGCTGAGATTACTAGGTGTTTTCTTTATAGAGTCTCCGGTTATCTTCTCAACAACCATATGAGAAATCTTACAGATGAAACAACGTAGGCTGAGGTTAAGAAATACACCCAAGTTAGGCACAGTCAGGAGAGTGGCCAGAATTCACAATCAGCCTGTCTTCCTCCAGAACCACCTCTGCCGGGGTAACTTTAGCAGGAATGAAAAGTAACATGTGGGAGAAACTGGAAAAGCCCAGACCTAGCTGAGGCCAGGCATGAAGCTGGTTCACACAGCAACATCCTACTGTAATGCCTTAGGCTCCGCAGCAGCTACAGACACCTTCTCTGCTTTTTGCCTTGGCTCTTTACTCTTCCCCTGGCCCCGGGAAGGACTGCTGGGCTGGAGGGATGCGTCTATGCATCCTAAGTGCTGGCGGGAAGATGGAGGCTGAGATCTTTTCTTCACCATCAAATGTCCTACAGGAAACATCAACCCCACAAAGTCCCTGCCTCCTCAGCCGATCACATAGATCAGTGCTTGGGACTGTCACTGTACAACGTGTGCCTTACCCTCTATTAGCACACAGCGTTCTCAGTCACAGTCTTAAAAAATGTTGCCCAGTCAAGGCCCTGAAAGCCAGCTGGGGCCTCTTACTGTCCAGCCATAAGAGAAATAACACACTTGAATAGCCAAGCCAAGAAGCATCCTTGCAGGACAGGAAAGAATATATAAGGATAACCTTGTTTTAATAGAAAAAAGGAAATGAGACAGAAATTGGCTCTTTTACTGCAGGGAATGGAATCCTATGAACTCAACTTTAGTTTTAGTTGGAATAAATATTTTCTGAGCCTCCTATGTGTGAGACACGGCAGCAGGCACCTCCTCTTATTGTAATTCCATTTCTTCGTCCCCAGGTCCTGGGCTCAGAAGAAAGAAAGGCTCAGTGAAGTCAAGGGGCCTATTCAGAACTACTGGAAGCCCAGACTTGCTGCCTTTTCACCCAGAACTCTTTCCATCATTTCACAGCTGCCTTCTCCTAAGTGTCCTCATGAGCTTGTATCATCATCTGTAAGGTTGGGCCTGGACCTCAAAAGGTGGATTCTGGACCTCAGAAAGATTAAAAGACATGGACCATGGCCAGGGGCAGTGGCTCATGCCTGTAATCCTAGCACTTTGGGAGACCGAGACAGGCAGATTGCCTGAGCTCAGGAGTTCAAGCCCAGCCTGGGCAACATGGTGAAACCCCGTCTCTACTAAAATACAAAAAATCAGCCGGGCATGGTGGCAGGCGCCTGTAATCCCAGCTACTCAGGAGGCTGAGGCACAAGAATTGCTTGAACCCATCAAGCAGAGGTTGCAGTGAGCCGAGATTGTGCCACTGCACTCCAGCCTGGGCAACAAAGCAAAACTCTGTCTCAAAAACAAAAAAACAACAACAAAAAAAGACATGGTCCCTGGTTGCCAGGTATGAGATGAGAGAAGAGCACAGGTCTCCATCTCCCCCTCAGTTCACAGCACTTTTCTCCCGGGATGTCTTTTTGGCATCTCCTACACTAGGTGTAGGGTCCTGCTGTGATCTCCATAGCACTCTGCCCTTTCCCGAGCACAGCATTTCTCACTCCACGTTGTAATTGCTTATTGGTTGTTCATTTCCCTTAACTCACCAGAAGCTTCTGCAGGACAAGAACAACTTTTCCTGTATTCACCATTGATTTTCCAGTGTTTGGTGTATTGTAGGTGTTTAACAACGATTTGCTGAATTATTGATTGAAAGAAAGAATAGAAAGATGGATGGAGGGATGGATGGAGGGATGATCATTTATCAGCTCTTCAGTTACCATGTCTCCAAGTAATTGGGTAATTTATCGTTCTATTCCTGACAAGCTAACTTACCCAACTTCCCTAGTTTGTCAGCAGTACTATCAAAAGACAGTAAGGTGGGCCGGGCGCGGTGGCTCAAGCCTGTAATCCCAGCACTTTGGGAGGCCGAGATGGGCGGATCACGAGGTCAGGAGATCGAGACCATCCTGGCTAACACGGTGAAACCCCGTCTCTACTAAGAAATACAAAAAATAGCCGGGCGAGGTGGCAGCGCCTGTGGTCCCAGCTACTCCGGAGGCTGAGGCCGGAGAATGGCGTGAACCCGGGAGGCGGAGCTTGCAGTGAGCTGAGATCCGGCCACTGCACTCCAGCCTGGGCTACAGAGCGAGACTCCGTCTCAAAAAAAAAAAAAAAAAAAAAAGACAGTAAGGTGTAAAAGTTTGAATCTCCTGACTTTATACTCTGCTTCAATCATTTACTAACCATGGGATGATATGCAATTTATTTAATCTTGTTAAACCTCAGTTTCTTCATTGTAATACGATATTGTGATTCCTATTAATCATGCTTGTAATCTCTGGAATACACCAGGGAGAAGAAAAATGGTCGGTATCAATCTTAGCATATGTAACAATGTATGTCATTTATACTCAGATTTGGTGCCTCTTTTCTCTTCCACTTCTTTCACCCACAATGATTGCTGTGTACTTAACCCTATCTAATCTTTCTTCCTAATGTCTTCTACATTGTTTCACTACCCTCATCTTACCTGCCTATTTAACGCAATAGGTCCTAAACCGTTCCTGTCCTTCAGGTTTCTTTTCCAAAGCATCATACACTCCTGTTGATGGCTCTAGAATTCCTGTAAAGGAGAGGTTTAAGGTGGTACTCTTCGGCGCCCCAGAAATTGGGAAGGACAAGGGAGTGTCTTGAAGCTGCATATGTATATCACTCCATGACAAAGGCAGCTTGATAGATACGAAAGGGTCGCGAAAGTTCTCCACCCTGGCCAATCCTTGGAGTCACCTCTGGGCAGAAGCAGCCAATTTCCACTTCCTGAAATACGGTTCTCATCAAGGTGATTTTTCTTAAATTTGTTTCAAAGAGCCTGGAGGAGACACTGCATAAGGAGTTCTAGAATCCTTTGCCTCACATTCAGAACTTGTCACAATTTTGCCCCCCAGGGCATTTTGCTTCAACAACCATTTTTATTTCAAGCATTTCATTTCATTCAAGGCCCCTCAATATGCTATTCCTAACTCCATGTCTTTGTCCAGGAACTCCCCCGCTCCTGGCTCTCCCCAGCACCTCCCTTCTAATGAAATTCTGTTCATCCCCCAAGGGCTGGTGCCATCATTGCCCTCCTCCGCAATCACCCCAGCCTAAGGTGCTCCTTCCTTTCTTGGAGTTCCCACTGTTTTTTATCGTCAGGATAACGTACCCTGGCATTTAACTATCTAACGTTCTTGTATTGTTGTCGAAACATTTCCCATGTTGGTGTTTTTTCTCCCTCTGAACTGAGAGGTCCATTCAGGGTAAGGACTATCTCATACTCTTTGGATCCTCCGAGACACCCAGCCCAGAGTGGGTCCCAGCACTGGTAGGGATGGGATGTGAGTTACAAACCACCCCAGAAGCACTCTCTCTCTGCTCTTCCCGCCCACAGACCCATGACAATAGAAAAGAGGTTACAGATTTAGAGACACACATCTTCAGGGACCCAAAGATCCTCCTCCAAAAAATATGTGTAATACAGGCTACAAGACTTGGGATTGGGAAAATTTGAGTGTTTGTGACCCAATCTCAGTCTAATCATTTCCTGTGCTGGTGACTAATGACCTAGAGCCGAAGGCTCCTGCTACCTTCGGCTTGAGCAACTGGGTTTAAACACTTATCTGCCTACACCCACACACATCTGTCTTCATGCGCACACCAGCCCTCAATCAATAAACAGCACGGACAGTACCAAGTTCTCCAGAAAGGCCATGAGCAGTGGTGGGGTGGAGGTGGGGCTTTAAAACTTGTGCAAAAACCCCACCTCTAGAGGGAAATAAAAAGGGGGAATCTGGGTGAAGAATTTTTGTACTATTTTTCAACTTTTTTGTAAGCCCGAAATGTCAAAAAAAATTTAATTATGAAGCAGAAACAACAAAAAAGTTACCTTCTGTATGTAGTTTTTCTGCCACTTTCTCCAGCCTTTAAGAATTACTGGTTTTGAGGCCGGGCGCGGTGGCTCACGCCTGTAATCCCAGCACTTTGGGAGGCCGAGGCGGGCAGATCACAAGGTCAGGAGATCGAGACCACGGTGAAACCCCGTCTCTACTAAAAATTACAAAAAATTAGCCGGGCGCGGTTGTGGGCGCCTGTAGTCCCAGCTACTCGGGAGGCTGAGGCAGGAGAATGGCGTGAACCCGGGAGGCGGAGCTTGCAGTGAGCCGAGATCGCGCCACTGCACTCCAGCCTGGGTGACAGAGCGAGACTCCGTCTCAAAAAAAAAAAAAAAAAAAAAAAGAATTACTGGTTTTGGCTGAGGATGGCTCATGCCTGTAATCCCAGCACTTTGGGAGGCTGAGTCAGGTGAATTGCTTGAGCCCAGGAGTTTGAGACCAGCCTGGGCAACACAGCGAAACCCAGTCTCCACAAAAAATACAAATATTAGCCGGGCATGATGGTGTGAGCCTGTAGTCTCAGCTACTTGGAAGGCTGAGGTGGGAGGATCACTTGTGCCCAGGAGGCAGAGGTTGCAGCGAACCTGGGTAAGAGTGAGGCTCTGTCTCAAAAAAAAAAAAAAAAAAAAAAGAGTGGCGGCTTTTTTCAATATATTCATTTACAAATTATAGTTGTGAATGTATCTATTTCCCCTGTTAGACCATTAGTATAAAATGGAAAATAAAGTTACTTCGGAGTCAGAGACCTTTTAAACACCTCTCAATATAAAAAATAATATTTTTAAATATTAGAATATTAATATTGGAATAGAAGCATTTTAATATTTTGTGATCTGGGGCAAGATACTTAGGCCTAAGTTATAGCTTCCTTGTCTTCCTATTTATGCTAAGGGATGGTGATTTTTTTTCAATGACTATCCCTGAGCAGTATAATAAGAATGATATAAAAAGTCAATAATATGATTCTGGGTCCATAGCTGGTGTTCATGACATACTCCTTCCAGATTTTTTCAAATGCCAGCTTCCAAGTTCTACTCACTTTGTGCCCTCACACCTACACTTTTTCTTTTTTTTTTTTTCCCCACACTTAAACATTTTTAGGTGAAGCACCTGGCACAGTGTGGATGCCTAACACATCGGTATTGAAGGGGTGAGGGGTGGAAAATGCTGCAATTCTTCTAAAGCAACGCTCCAGCTGATCCGCGAGCCCTAGGAACAGCCCCTGCTTCTGCAAATCCTCTGAGTGACCTTGTGAAACTTCCATAACCTCTCCAGGCCTTTGCTTTCCTAGTCTGCGAAATGGGACGGGTTTTCATTACACATTTGCATCTCATTGCACATGTGTGACTCGGCAGCCCACCGGCCCTGGCGGGGTTCATCTTTCTTCTCAAGAGCGCTGGCCCCAGCTTCCACCTTGGGCTCAGGCGAGGCCGAAGGTGAGCGATTGCGTCCTCATGCCTCCGGGCGGCTGAGGGAGAAACCCTCCAGGGGCATTCAGAGACAGGGACCAGAGTTTCTGAGAGGCCCTGGGCACAAGGTCGGGGCAGGAGGTCCAGGCAGCCTTTCCTGGTCTCGCCGCCTCCCGCTGCCGCTGAGCAGCAGGGTAGTGAAGGGCAGACTCCCAGGGGCCGACCCTGGGGCTGGGCTGCTCGGTTCCGCGGAACCCACTGTCCGCCCCAGTCCGGCCGCCAGCCTCCTGCCCTCCGAGAGTCTCCTGGGCCGGGTGACGGAGCCAGGGGGATTCTGCTCCCTCTGCCTGCTGTTCTTTCTGAAAGGGGGTGGTGCACATTTTGGCCAGGGCCACGTGCAGAGCACTTTGCTGCAAAGCATCTCAATAGACCTCTTTCCACCGAGCTGTGGGTCCCCTTCCCCTGGGTGCTGGCTAGCCTAGCTCTTTTCGGGATCTGAAGGAGCGCTGCTGCAAATACCGACAGCAGAAAGCGAGCGAACGCGAAAGGCCCCGGGAAAGCCAGGCCAAGGGGGGTCGCCGGGTGCCACATGAGGCAGTCGGTGGGAAGAGCCCTAGCCAGCCGGGCACTGGCTGCCTTCGCTGCCTACCTCTGCCCCCCGCCGTCGGCCTGGTCAGTCTGGTGGCTTCACACTAACAGAACCAGACGGGGAGGGAGAGGAGAGGCGAGAAGAGGGCAGAGTACAGAGGGGAGAGGGCATGAGGAGACGAGGAGGGAGAGGCAAGAATGCAAATAAGGAGACCTGGAGACGAAGAGATGGAAGAGAGAAATGTCAGATTTGTGAGAGACAGGGAAGCAGAGAGAAATGAGAGTAAAAAAGAAGCGAGAGAGAAGTGGAGAGGACAAAGTGAGAGCAGAGCTCTAGGAACGGACAAGGCCTCGTCCACGGGCTCTCAGCCGAGGTGTCACCAATGCCCCCTGCACAGAATCAATCCTACGCCCGGCGCCTCTTAACCCACCCGCCTCTGCACGGCCCCAAGTCTCCCCTGGCCCTCCCTGCCCGGTCAGCTCACGCTTCTCCCCCACCGGCCCCCACCGCTAACCCCAAACGCTGCGCGGGAGGGAGGGAGGGAAGGAGGGAACAGCGAGAGAGCGAGGGAGGGGCTGCGGTAGGAGGCAACCATGTGGTTCCAGCTGAATTTTTTTCCCCGTCTCTCTTTCTTCACTCCTTTTTCTTTCCAAACAGGGAAAAGTGTTCCACGAAGCGGTAGCGCCTTTCCGCCTCGCGTTTCCCTCCCTGACCCTGGTCCCGGCTCCTGTCCCGGCGCGAGCTGGTGGGGCGAGCGCCGGGAGCCCATCTGCTCCCGGGGGCGCGGGGCGCGGGGCCGGCTTCCGCCCGGCACATGGCTGCAGCCACCCAGCGCGCACCCCGAGGCGCCGCGCCCAGCTCGCCCGAGGTCCGTCGGAGGCGCCCGGCCGCCCCGGAGCCAGGCAGCGGCTGAGCGGGGAAGCTCCCGCGTCCGGGAATCGGGATGTCCCTCCTCCTCCTCCTCTTGCTAGGTGAGTGCCTCTGGGAGGGCGGGAGTTTGGATGGCCGTGGGCAAACGCAGCCCTGCGTCCGGGAAAGACGCTGCTTCTGACCCGAGTGTCCCCGCAGCCCCTGGAGGGAGCCGGCTTTTCCGTCCCTGCCTCCTGGCCACGGAGGAGCACATCTGGCAACCGAGGGCCGCCCAGTCGGCCATCGAGATTGTCTCGCACATCTGGGCCCTTGAACAGACTCGGGGAGTCGTTTGATGTGGAGGGTCCTCTTTAGGGCGGTGTTTAGTTTCTCGTGTATCTGGGGAAAGTGGAGAATTGGTGGAGGGAAGGTTTATCCAGGAATTTTTGGGTCAGGTTCCTGAGGGTGGGGGTTTTTTGTTGTTGTTTCAAACGGGCGCCTCCGAGGCTCAAATTAGAAACAGATGTGTTAAAGGGTGAGCAGAGTGGGGGACAGGCAGGGTGGGAGAGGAAAGGGGAGAGGGAAAAAGGGCAGGGCCCAAGGAGCACCAGGAAGATGCAAATGCCCCAAATGACCCAGGGAAAGAAGGAAAAGGGGAAAGGGTACGGGTTGGGAAGGAGAGAGAAAAGGAGGAGAACAGGAATGTGAAACAGAAGGGCAAGGCTGGGGGAGACGGAGCACAGAGAGTGAAGAAGACTTGGAAAAAACGGAGCAGAGGAGCCAGAACAGAGGGAAATGAGCAAGCATCACTTTTTCCTGAAACAGGCTCCGGAGCAAAGGGAAGAGTCCTCCTGAGCGTCCCTTCCTGGGGTCCCCCAGGCAGGATCCTTGGGGCCTCATAGGCCCTTAGGCAGAGGCAGGTTTGCAGGAGAGGACATCAGGGATGTGGGTGGTAGGAGCCCACAGGAGGGACTGGGAATATCTGAGGCGCCACGGCAGGAAAGGCAGGCACGGAGAGCAAAGGGCATGTCATACTATGCACACTGAAGCGTGGGATCCACTGGAGACAGGCCCAACAGTTAGCTGGAGATCCGAAAATCAAAGAGCCAGCCAGGTGTGGTCAAGAGTGAGCACTACCCTGAACACCAGGCCACGGGAGAACTAGTCCTGGTTTTAAACTGACTAGCTGGGTGGCCTCAGACAACTTACTCCTTATCCAGGGCTTCTATGTCTTTAGCTCTGGAAAGAGAATATTAGATGGTTCCTAAGTCCCTTCTAGCCTACAACACCAGAGGTTTGAAGGAGGCTGGTGTCTAGAAGAACCACCAAACCCTGAAATACGTGGCTAGAGTGCTCTGTCTTTTTTGAAACTTTACAAACCAACTAAACTATATGCATACCCATCTAGGCCAGCCTCAGGCTGATAATCACTCAAGTTAGAGAAATGAAAGAGGTGGGCTAAGCCAAACTATTGCTCAAATAGGGCAGGTGGGGAGGGGTTATTTTCTAAACTCCTTTAGACATTAGCCAAATATTGCAATACTGTTCCTGTGCGCATCTGGCACAGCTGGATGGCACCTTTGTTCCCTTTACTGGACTCTACCACTAAGTTACCAATCACCAGATTTTTCAGTTGAATGAAACTTCAGAGCTGCGTTATTAAAAACAGCTAATAGTCGTTGTTGTACTGAACACTTTATATGTGCTATCTTGGTAACTCATTTGTTCTTCACACCAAGCCTATTGACTGCCCAGCCATCCCTGTTGGCTACCCTCATGTTACAGATGAAGAAACCAAGGTGTAAAAAGGCCAGGTAACTTGCTCAAGGCCACACACTCATAATTAGGAGGGATGGAATTTGGGTGCAGGCTACCTGCCTCTAGAGAGAGCTTCCTAAAGCGCATTGCTTTCCAGCCTCCTGTGGCTGCAGAGATCCTCAAAGCGCTTACCCTCTACCACACCTGGCTGGCTCTTTGATCTCACCAACCTCTTCATGGAATGTAAGATGTCAGCGTGACCTATAGGAGAGAGGTCTGGGAAAGGGAAACAAAAGTCACACTGTTCGAGCACCTGTCCTTGTTTAAGAAGTGGTTTGGAGCCATGGAATGCTTGGACACTGTTCAGCAAAGCCAGAAAGAAAACACACCAAGTTGTCTGAGTCCTGAAATCATCATACTGGTCCTTTAAAGGGGCAGTTCCAGGGCTGCTTCTGATCATGGCTGGCATGATTTTTGGCGTATCTTTTTCTAATGATTGCAGAGTATCAAACAAGGGCTGGGAGGGTGGAGAGTCTTCATCGTCTGAACTGTGGGCCAGTTGACTCCGTGCTTCCTGCACCTTCCAATGAGTGAGGTCAAATCACCCACCTCTCTGATGTGAATGAACAAGTAGTGCTCTGAGCCCCAAGGAGAAGAGAGAAGGGGCTCCGGCTCAGCCCCTCTTCTGACCCACTATCCTGCCCCACTCCCCTAACGTTCCGGTCCTCACTGTGCCACCTTAACTTCTCTCCTTGACGACTATAGCAGCTGCCACATTCCTGCCCTGCCTGTCCTCTCTCCTCCACTCTGCACACTGCTACCCAAGTAACCCTGTGAGGCCGCTGGTAGAATGCACGAAGCTGGGACTTAAGAGTCTGGCAACCTCTCCAGGTTCTTGTTCTGACTCCCTTATCTGTACAATGGGCATAGGGGTGCGGGAATGTTGAATTCAAAATTTCTGTAATTCTATGGTTTTTCTCCTTTCTTCCAAAAACCTTTAGTAGTCTCATTGCTTTTAGTGTTGAGTACAAACACTTCATTCTGACATCAAAGACTTTACATGTCATTCACAGCTCTTCCTCTCCTCACCCCCAGATACTCAGTAGGGAACCTGAATTACTTCATGCGCCCAAAACACGTCCCATGCTTCTTTCTAATTCTACACTTTTGTTTATGATAATCCCCCCAGCAAGACTGCCTCCTTATTTCCTGCCCCTGCAGATCAAAATCATGTTCATTCCCCAAGTTTCACCTCAAATGCCACTTTCTCCATACACCTGTCCATGTTATCACCAGCTGAATATACTTTTTTTTTTTAGTCTATTGGACCTTTGAGTCCCAACAGCCTTCGTCTTATGACACTTTGTATTATGTTGTTCCAAATGCTTATCTAACACCCCATTAGAATGGAAGCTTCGTGAAGACAGGGACAGTGTCTCATTCACCTGTGAACCACGTTCAGTACCTTGCATAAACACTTGGGAACTATTTGTTGAGAGATAACTGGATTTTTAAAATATTTGAAATGTTTAAGGTCAAGAGAGGTGAAAAATTTGGAAGATCACTAACCTTTGACTGGGGGATAACCCAATAGCGAGGAGCCCAGTTCCAATTCAGCTTGCTTTGAGCTTCCTTGTCTATTAATGCAAATAGGACCAGTCCTATTTTTAAAAAATTCTACAAAGAACATTACAGGGACAGGGACCAGATAATATATTTGTCATACAAATTTATTTTGTTATCTTGTGTGTGCTAGTGCCAGATTAAAAATAAGACTTCTCTGTTGAAACTTCTGCCAGAATGGGGAAGGAGCTTGGTTTCGCAGAAAGTGAGTTTGAAGAAGGCATGAATGCACAGTCCATTGGTCTGCAGGATAATGACAGGTCTCCGTAGGATTCCATGTCCTACCCTCATCTTCCCACGTTAATGGTGATGGTCATAATAATGATATATTCCCCGTAGGCTTAAATCTAGTCACATCCTATTTTTGTCTTTTTCTCATCTGGGCAGGGTACACATGAGTATTATTTCATGAATGTATCTAATGATGATGGATATTTTTTAAAGGTAGAGTCAAAGATTGCCGGAACTGGAGGAAAACTAAGAGACTACTTAAATCAATGGTTCTTAAATTTTTGAGTCCCAGACCCTTTTTAGAATCTGATGAAAATCACAAAACCACTTCTTAGAAAAAGACATGTATACTTCAAGTTTGCCAATAATATTTAAGACCTCATTGAGACCTCCTGATACCTTTCCTTGGAACCCAAGTTAATCTTTGATCTAAACTTACCCCTTCTTTTAGCATGAAGAAACCAAAGTTCAGAGAGAGGTTTGGCGAAGGTTATACAGCTAGCTTGGTAAAAGGGCCAAGACTGGAACCCTAATTCCATGATTTGTCCTATTACACATTTTTGAAATAGAAAAATGTCTCTACTTCCTTTTCAGCTCATGTACTTAAAGCTTCAAGATCACAGCTGCTCTTGTGATGCTTCAGTTAAGTGAGCTAAATGCTGAATAATTGGCATTGGTTTTTATTATATGAGAAATTGCCTGAAAAATCAGGCAGGCGTCATAACATTTCAATTTAGTCAACGTAATTGGAAGTCCTAGGAACTCTGCAGTGTCATGTATGTCTAGTGTATTCAGGAGAAAGGAATTAATACCCAAAGTCCCAAAGATGTGGGTGTATGTGTACAAGGAACAGGACTGGAAATCAATAGCTTTAGCTCCTTAATCATTTTTCTGGGTGAGCCTAGGAAAATCATACCACTCTGAGCCTTAGTTTTCTCCTTTGTAAAATGGAAATATGAGATTAACATTATCTCTAAGTTTCCTTATACCACTAACATTCTGAGTTTTTTTAATTCTGAGAATTTTCTGGCTGGTCCAGATGTGGTTGTGATCAGGAACAGATGGGTGTCACCATGCTTATTGATTTTTTCAGGCACTGTTCACTCATGGCAATTGGTAGCACATGATGATAAACCAAGAAGGGTCAACGAACTAATTGGAAGAGAACAGTAGTAGCCTCCATCCTGGAACTGCCCTGTGGCACTGTTAGCCAGGGAGCACCATTCAGGTTCAGGGTGATGGCCCAATCCCCTCACCCAGGAAGTTCAGTAACTGAAATACTCACCAAAATGAGCTCATCTTAAGCAGGGTTACCTACAGAACAGCCTCAAGCATGGACACCCAGGATAGGCTTCAGTGCAGAGGGGCTATGGTGTAAAATTATTTGTAAGCATAAGCTCTTTTTTTTTTCTTTTTTTGAGACAGAGTCTTGCTCTGTCACCTAGGCTAGAGTGCAGTGGTGCAATCTCCACTCACTGCAACCTCCGCCTCCCAAGTTCAAGCAATTCTCCTGCCTCAGCCTCCTGAGTAGCTGGGATTACTGTCATCCACCACCACGTCTGGCTAATTTTTTGTATTTTTAATAGAGATGGAGTTTCACCATGTTGGCTATGCTGGTCTCGAACTCCTGACCTCAAGTGATCTGCCCACCTTGGCCTCCCAAAGTGCTGGGATTACAGGCATGAGCCACTGCCCCCGGCCATTTTCTTCTACTTTTAAAATTAACGCATAATGTGCATGTAAAGCACATCTAGTAAATGTATAGCTTAATGGATTCCTTGCCTGGATTTGAACTTGTAGTTGGATTTTGAAATATGAAATGTATTACTAGCCCACTTGTAGTACTCTGAGAGGGGATTATATGGGCGGGAATACTATGACAGTATAACTAATTTCTAACATTTGTACAAGGTTTAGCAGTTTACGAAGTACATTAACATACCTTATCCACCTCAAATCACTCTTTGAGAGTATCATTATTACTCCATTTTACAGATACATAAATGGAGGCTCAGAGAAGTAAAGTGAGCTTCTTTCTCTAGAATACACTGTGAGTAAACAGCTGAGCTAGGATCCCAACCCAGGACTTTGGATTCCAAAAACCATGTGTTTTCCACTTACCAGGAGACACACGGTTATTCTGAAATCAAGGCTCTGTGTTACTAAGAAGAGTGGATCAGGCTGAAGCAGAGGCTTCATCTTTAAACCCCAAAGTGGAAAGTTCTGCCGAACATTTATTACCCATCCCCTTCCCCCACTCCATTCCAATGGTTAACAAATGTGTTTGGATGACTATTGTGTATAACAGAACTACGTCTACATACATTGTATATGGATTACTAGTGTTCCTTCTAATACATCAGAAGACCCTTCTAGTGTTCAAGAGGTCAGATGCTTTGGGGTCAGATGCATGAGCTTCCCTTGTTAGTACTATCCTGCGACTGTGGATGACGAGGTTTATGGATTGGGTATGACTCACCTAATATGTTGCTTTTTCTACTTAAAGCCCTGTTTTCAACAGTTCCGACTTACTTGTTTCCTAAAGAAAAAATGCAAACCATACCTTCCTCCCCTTCAAGTTCTGGTTATCTGAATGTCTGGATTCTGGAAAAATAAAAGTTTATTTCCTTTGGCACCGTACAGACCAAAATGGGGAAGAATGCCGAAACGAAAGCTTTATTTTGTTAGCAGCAGTCAGTTGGGTCACTGTGTGTGGAGCCTCAGCCAAAGCCTGCCGGTGATAAGACTCAATGCTGCTTTGTTTCAAGAGCAGGCAGGGGAGAAAGCTGTTTCCTTTGTGCCCATACTGAGAAGAGAAAATGGGCAACTATCTTCAGAATAGTCCCTCAGTGGGTGTGGAATATTGAGGGTTTTTGTAAGAGGGGCAGCAAGGGGGATGTGGAAAGTTCAGGTCATCAACGGTGGCAGAGGAGAAGAAAGGAGAGGAGGAGGAGGAGGAAGAAGAGGAGGAAGAGGAGGAGGAAGGCATAGAGACTGTAGAGGATGAAAAAGCTAAGCTAAGCTGACCTCCTGGTGTTTACAGAGCAGCCTCTGAGCACGTTCTGTTTCACGGATGGCGGGAGCAGCTCACTGATGTCCCTTTTAAGATCTTCTTTAGGGCTTCCATCCAAGCTGTAACATTTCCTACTTCAGGCACACGCTCTCTCACACAAAACAATTACAGAGCGGGTGCGCCTGCTAGAGTTCAGGCCCCTAGCTGGGCTCTGAGACCCCGATCACACAAAAGGCTCCCTTTCTACCTTCTAAGAATTCAGATCAGTGAGAGAGATGTATTCACAAACAAGGAATGTCAGATACATGAGGAGGCGATTCTGGAGGAAAGTACCAAGGATTCTAGGAGTCCCAAAGAGGAAGCTGCTTCATTACGTGCTGGCTGCTGTGTATTTCTTCTCATGCAGGTCTTCAGGGGCTGTGTCTGACATCCCTGTGCCCCTCACAGCACTTGCTCATTATTGAGATCGTGCTAAATAAGCAGTCGGTGGGTTGATGGATCACCCATCAGCGTCAGAAAGGAGTAGAATTAATCAGTGCATCCTTGGCATTCAGCCAGGAGCTTCCTGGAGAGATTGAGACTCCCAGTGTCCTTGCCTATTGAAGGTTATGGTCTCATTCTTCATCACAACCTGCCAGCGACACAGCTACCTCTAGGTCCTCATCCCTCATGGGATGTTTTCTGAAAAAAGGAAAGAAAAAGATGTGTAACTGTGAATTTGGATCTCTTAATTAAAAATGGCCATATATTCACCCAAGGTTTGTATCTTATTACTCCACACGGAAAATGAATAGGATCAAGCCAAAGAGGAATTTTCTGTTCCAGGAGAAACTCATTGTACTAAGCAGAGACTCAGCCCCAAGTCATACTTCTTTTCTTGGTCCGGGAGGAAAGAGGGAAAATGAAATCCCTGAGAGGGAAATTGCTTTGTGACTTCATTGTTTAAATTTAGGCTTGGGTTTGTGGGGATCGTTCAGACTTAGAGCAATAAGCCTTCTAACCCAACCTCTGTCACTTCTCATTACTTCCAATGACAGTTCCAATTATTTCCAATCACTCTTCAAGGGAACAGCAGGGAAGGCGCACATGGCTTCCACGTAGACCAACCGTGGAGCAACCGCTGTAAGAATCGGCCCCTGGGGTCCCTAGACCCTGCTGGAAGCCAGGCTTGTCCGCTTCAAAATTGTGTGACCTTGGGCAAGTTACTTCACCTCCCTAACCTCAGGTTTTCGTCAGCCATTGCATCTAGTAACGATGTCATAGAGTTTTTTTAATGAAAATTACATGAGGTGATGCATAAGAATTTTAACGCTCTGCTTGGTACGTAATAAATAGTAAATGAATATCTGTTGTTATTATCATGAGTTTCCTTTCTGGGGGAGGGTCAGTTCATGGGTATTTGGAGGGTCTGCTTGAAGTCAACGACCACCAGGCCGTCAGCACCAGCACTGGGGGCTTTGGCCACTGTGGTTCCTCACCCTACAGGCGAGCCCCTAATGTCCTTTGGGGAATATTGCTCTGCTCCAGGTCCACAACGGGCTCACAGATTCTGGCCGGGCTCAGTGGCTCATGCCTGTAATCCCAGCACTTTGGGAGGCTGAGGCGAGTGGATCACTGGAGGTCAGGAGTTCGAGACCAGCGTGGTCAACATGGTGAAACCCTATCTGTTCTAAAATAATGTAAAACTTAGCTGGGCGTGGTGACACACGCCTGTAATCCCAGCTACTCGGGAGGCTGAAGCAGGAGGAGCATTTGAACCCGGGAGGCGGAGGTTGCAGCAGTGAGTTGAGATCGTGCCACTGCGCTCCAGCCTCTGGGTGACAGGGCGAGACACCATCTCAAAAAAAAAAAAAAATGAGGCTCGCAGATTGTGCCCTAGCTCTCCACAGCCGCTCTGGGAGAGCAACTTTTTGTGTTATTTAGCCCTAGGAAAGAGGTGCCCTTCTATGCCGCTTGGCATATCACAGCTGTGAGTCTTCTTTTCCTGGGTTCTACCCTCTTGACTCATGCCCCCGAGTACCTGTGCCAACTTAGGCTGCCTCAGCCTGGGCATATAACTGGTTGGTTCGTTTCTGTTTTCAGTGTTAAGTGATGTTTAATTGTGCAAGTACTATGGACTAGGCAGTGTGCTAGGGATTTCCAGACAAGTAATTTCTTATATTCTTAAAACAACCTGTGAGATTGGTATTACGGTCCCTATATTACAGGATACGAAAGTGAGACATAAGAGGTAAGGTATTCCATCCTAGGCAGTACAGCTTGAATAGAGCAAAACAGCAGACGCGAGAGAATTTGCCCTCTCCAGCACTGATCTGGGAAGTAGGCATGACGAGGCAGCCAGGCCACATAGGTACAGTGACACACAAACGGACGGGAGGCCACTGGGAGGCCTGACCTTGGCCTAACAAGGAGCTGCAAGTTCCTTATCCCCCAGTTTTCAGGCAGTCATTTGTCCTGATCAAAACTAGACTCCACCGAGCCCCACACCCACATTCAAGATGTGTTTAATTATGTTTCTTTTTTAAATAGGAGGAAAGGAAAACCTCAAGGTGAGAAGAAAAATCTGTTTGTTTTTTTCTTCCCACTGACCTGAACAGTAAAGTGCGATTTTTCTCCTCATTAAAGAGGGCTAAACTGGTGTCCCAGATTCCTGCGAGCCTAGAATTCCCGCTCAGAATGAAGTCCTGGGCCAGGCAGGCAGAGCCTGGGTTTTCAGCGGAGGCCTGGTCCCCATCTGCCTTCCCCTGGGGGAGCTCTACCCCACCCCACTCCCACCAGTAGCGAAGGGCAGCCGGCTCCCGCCTTGCCTGCACTCCACCCCCGAGGAGGGGAGGCCGGAAACGAGGCCACCTCTCCGCAGCCTCCTTCTCTGCTCCACTGCCTCTCACACCCTGTTCCTGGAGCCCTGCAGCTTCCCAAGCCCTGGGGAATGCAGGTGACCATCCCTGCATGCTGCTGCCTCAGCCTGACCTTCCTCCTGCTCTCTGTCTGTCTCCCCTGGCGCCAAACTGGCCTGCTCTCAGATCTGGCACTTAACGAGACAGACAGAGAAAGAACAAAGACCAGCCTGAACTCCGTCAAGCTCATCTTTCATGTATTGCCCCTTTTCCTCTCTCTCTCCCTCCTCCACTCTCCCAAATTCTCTGTGAGGCACCCACTCCTGAAAGCCTTTGCTCTCCTCAGCCTAAGCTAATAGTGGTGCTTTGTCCCCGGTCCCCCACCTGTTCTTGAAGACCTCCATGCTGTTGCCTTCCATCCCCTGTGACCAGCTACCTCTTTACCACTTCTGCCCTGACCAGCTTCCTCCCATCCACCGCCTCATCTGCAGAGGCTTTCCTGACACTCCAGGCACAGAGCGGTGCTGGCCCCTCTGAGCCCCCAGAGCACCTTGTCCACACCTTTAGAGTAGCTTGTGGCATGTTATGGTACAGTTTGGGGTTCTCTGTCTTTCCTGGTGACTGTGAGCAGGGAACGGTGTCGTATTGTCAGGAATACCAAGCCCAGTGAGCAGCTGGCACGTGCTGGATTCTTGCCAAATGAATGAATGAGGGAACAAACAAACATGTGAACGCACAAGTGAATGCATGTCAATCCCCTCTCAGGGGAAGGGTGACTGAGTCACTTTTCACTTAGTAATTTTCAGGACATGTGGCCTCTCCTTTCAGCTTTAGTTTGAACTTTAGCCTTATTAGTGGTCAAAGCCCTTCCAGCAATATTGACTGACTCCTTCTCTGACCCTTTTAGGTCCTCTGCAGAGAATGGCAAGAGTTGTGTATGGGCTCTTAGCCAATTCAGGAGCTCCTTCCGTGATGCATGGAGTTTAAGGCCCTCTTCCTCTCCTTTCCTCTTTTGCTTCTGCCTCACCAGGTTCACCCTGCTCATCTCTAACCTTGCCTGGGTATCACCGAGGCAGCATGAGCAGAAGAAACACAAGTCAGCCAATGAGCACAGAAAATTTTGGTGGGATTTTTAAGTTATTATTTCAGCCAGACACGGTGGCTTACGCCTGTAATTCCAGCATTCTGGGAGGCGGAGGTAGGCGGATCACCTGAGGTCAGGAGTTCGAGACCAGCCTGGCCAACATGGCGAAACCCCATCTCTACTAAAAATACAAAAACTAGCTGGGCGTGGTGGCACATGCCTGTAATCCCAGCTACTCGGGAGGCTGAGGCAGGAGAATCTCTTGAACCTGGGAGGCAGAGGTTGCAGTGAGCCGAGGTCACACCACTGCACTCCAGCCTGGGCGATGGAGCGAAATTAATCAAAAAAATTAATAATTAATGAATTAATTAAAATATGATTTCTAGGCTAAGTGCTTGTCCATGTGTTAGCACATTTAATCTTCAAAACAGCATTGTGAGACAGATGACAGCTTTCATTTTGCAGATGAGGATCAGAGAGGTTAAGAAATTTTTCTGGTGTTACCACAGCTAGTTAGTCAGATTAAAATTTGAAGCCCTGTCTTCTGGGTCCTAAGTCATTACTCATCCTACTGCCCCACATGACCAGGAGCCCCATTGTGAGTGGCAGTCGCACCCCACCACACTCAGTAGGGCTCTGTGCTGATTTGTGGCTTCTGTGTCTCGTCCCCACCCCAGTGCATCGGGTGGGTATATCAGTGAGCTTTCCCTGAAAGATGGTTGCCAGGTAAGGCTGTTTCCTCTGGGAAGCCTTGAGATTTGTTTCATGCATACGGTGACCAACCATCCTGTTTGCCCATGCAGGATTCTCAGTACTAAAACTGGGACAGTCCCAAGAAAGCCATTTAATTGGTCACCCTAGTAGTAGAGTATCTCGCTACTCAGAGAGTGACCCTCAGGCCAGGTGCAGTGGCTCACACCTGTAATTCCAGCACTTTGGGAGGCCGAGGTAGGCGAATCACTTGAGATCAGGAGTTCGAGACCAGTCTGGCCAACATGGTGAAACCCCATCTTTACTAAAAATATAAAAATTAGCCAGGCATGATGGCAGGTGCCTGTAATCCCAGCTACTCAGGAGGCTGAGGCAGGAGAATTGCTTGAACCCGGGAGATGGAGGTTGCAGTGAGCCGAGATCCCACCACTGTACTCCAGACTGGGCAACAGAGCAAGACTCTATCAAAAAAAAAAAAAAAAAAGAGTGACCCTCAGACTAGCCACAGTGGTTTCACCAGGGAGCTTGTTGGAAATGCAGAATCTCAGACTCACTCACGCCAGACGCACTGACCCAGAATGCACGTTTTCGCAAGATCCCCATGGAAGGGGAAAAACATTTTTTTTTTTTTTTTTTTTTTTTTTTTGAGACGGAGTCTCGCTCTGTCGCCCAGGCTGGAGTGCAGTGGCGCGATCTCGGCTCACTGCAAGCTCCGCCTCCCGGGTTCACGCCATTCTCCTGCCTCAGCCTCCCGAGTAGCTGGGACTACAGGCGCCCACAACCGCGCCCGGCTAATTTTTTTTGTATTTTTAGTAGAGACGGGGTTTCACCGTGGTCTCGATCTCCTGACCTTGTGATCCGCCCGCCTCGATCTCCTGACCTTGTGATCCGCCCGCCTCGGCCTCCCAAAGTGCTGGGATTACAGGCGTGAGCCACCGCGCCCGGTGGGAAAAACATTTTGGAAGAGGAAGTACTTAAGGCACATTCGACAGAAGTTACGGAAATGAAGATTCATACCTGAATCATCTGACCTGAGAGAGGTGACATCCTCACTTTTCCAAGCTTGCATTTTACATGTGATGGTTTGCTCTATACCTCAGGTGATGCACATTGGCACAAAAGACTTAGGTTTATAAACCGAGGAAGAAAGGAGTTATGGGTCCACATTCAGTCCAAGTGGAATGAAAGGCTGGAGGGTGCGTGAGTGCTGGGTGAGGGTGTGTGGGCATCGAGTGATTTCACAGTTAAGCCTTTCTTGTGTCTTTGAAACGATGATGTTCTTACGAGGGACTTGGAGTTCTCTGAATTCGCTGGCCTACACCCTTTTGCCGAGGTCGGGCTGGAGTATCACAGTGGACAGCAAATAAACCAGACTGTGAGTGAGGACAGCAGCAGCCTGTGCTCTTGGGCCTGAGGATTCAGCAAAGGGAAATAAACGCCCAGAGGGAAAAGCATATAATAGGAACCACGCTTGCTGAAGAGTAGACCCTCAGTAGTTATAACTGAAGAAATAATTAGGCCACCAAAGAGGTGTTCCAAGACTACATGTTTTCCTGTTTGATGCCTGGCTCTGAATCTAGGTCTCATTTTCACCCTGGCCAAGGAGAGATCAGAAGGGAAAATGTGTAGGTCCCTTCCCTGCTGCAAGAATCTAACCCAGATTTGGAAATGAGTTATTCATGGTTCCCCAGCCTGTGCTACCCTGTGGTGATGACCTCGCTTGGATGGAAACAGAAGTGATGGAAACTGTGCTCTAGGTGAGAAAGTGGTTGGCCAGCTCTTCATAGGATGCTTCAACAACTTCTCTAGGGCCTTGGCTTATCTCAAAGCAAACCTGGGTCAAAGCAGTTGTTCGGTCTTTTAAATTGGTGCTGTGTGTCATCCTGGGTCAAAGTCATTGTAAAAGTCTTTTAAAGGGGTGCTGAGTGTCATCTTTTGTTAATGTTTTTGCTCTAAAACCAGACTGTCAGATGTTAAAATAACAGGCACCAAGCAAGGTACGAAAAGACATTTGTATTTCTAGGATTGCAGAGCAGCCTTGAACTAAAAGAAGCATAACCCATATTTGTCGACTTTCTCTCTATTCCAAGTCACATGCCCAGTAGGGAGCCCAAAATAAGGGCAGCCCAGGGGAGGGAATGACAGGCAGGCCTGGAGATGGATGTGTTCATCCGTTGAGTTGGAGCTGTTTCAGACAAAGCTGATTTCTGCTGTGATATTAATCCCACCCGGACAACAAGAAATCAAACTGTCACTTTTCTCAGAATGAGATGAAATGTTTCTGACCTAGGTTTGGTTTTATAACAATTTCTTCTGTGTGTGTTGTTTTCCCTGGGATCTCAAAGGGCTCAGTTGGGGGTGGATCTTAGAAGAAAACACAGATTTCATTTATGGCGCAACTTCCTTGCCTGGTACTGTGAGTGGACGTAGTGCTGTGCATGACCTGAGAGCCTGGTCGGGGAGCAGATTGACAGAGGAGAGAAACTGGGGAACAAAGGCAGACAGAATGGAATTCATTGCCAAAATGTTTGGTACAGATAATAAGTGAAACAAAAGTTTTGGGAGAAGATAGTAAGGAAGGTGGAGGAACCTAACCTTGCTCACAGTGGAGCACGAATACCTACCGCAAGGTGAAAGCAGTCGCTTGAGGGCATTGCACTGGGGTGAGCGAGGGCAGGAGCTGCAGAGCGCCTGGGACCTAGGAAGAGAGCAGGAGAAAGGACATGCGGGGGCGGGGAGGAGACGGTTGTGAAATTGTTCAGTCTCGCTCTGGAAACAGTACACATCATAGTTTATAGGCCAATTTGGAGACCTCCTCCGGCTGCGTGGCGGTGTTGGGAAGTGGCTGAGCACCTCACCTCTGGGTCTCAGTTTTCCCCCTGCTGGAGGAGAGACTGGAAGGGAGAAGGTGTAGGTTCCCTCTCTGCCGAAGAGGTCACGCTGTGTGGCATTCCTTTGTGGGGAGCCATAGACTGGACTGCGCATTGTTCTTTCCCCTGCAGGCAGCGTGAGCTGACGCTCTTGACCCTAAGGTTGGAGGCAGAGACCCTCTTACCTGCACACACCCCGGGCCCCCTAGTCTCCTTGCTGCTGCTGGCTCTGCCCCCAGTGCTTTCCTATCACTAAGAATAGAGGCCTTCTCTCCAGGCATCCAGCTTCCCACACAGTCTGACTCTGCCCAAGCCTCTGCCCTTGAAGATGCCAAAGTGCTTTCTGTCTCAGAGTCTTTGCGGTTGTTTTCCCCTAGCCCAGGAACGCTCTTTCCCCAGATGGCTGCAAGACTGGCTCCTTGCCTTTCAGGTTTCAGTGCAAACACCGCCTCAGTGAGCATTTTCCTGAAACCCTCTCACCCCCGTCCCAACTAACCAGGGCCTCGGCCTGGTCACTATCACTTTGCCCTGTTATATTTTCTCCCTAACACTTACCACTGTCTTTTTTTTCACTCCTATACATTTCTGTCTTTGTCTGTTCAGGCTGCTTAACTAATTACTATAGACTGGGTGACTTATAAACAACAGAAATTTATTCTTCACAGTTCTGGAGGTTGAGAAGTCCAAGAGCAAGGCACAACAGATTTGGTGTCTGGTGAGGGCCTGCTTCCTTGTTCATAGACAGCCGCATGGTGGAAGGGGTAAGGGAGCTCTCTGGGGCTTCATTTCTAAGGCTCTGCCCTCATGACCTAATCAGTCCCCAAGGCCCCACCTCCCAATACCAGCACCTTGAGGGGTTAGGATTTCAACATATGAGCTTTGTGGGAAACACATACTTTAGACCGAATGTGCCATGTACTTGTTTACTGCCTGTCTCTGCAATAGCCAAGACTTCGTCTATATCATTTAGTTCATTTACTTCTGCATCCTTAGTGCTTAGGACAGTGCCTGACACAGAGGTGCTCATGTACTCACTGAAGGTTACCCAGCTGGTAAGCAATGAAGTCTGAATGTGAACCCAGGCAGTCTGACTCTAGAGCTGGTGCCATAAATTAATGTTATTCAAGTCATCTAAGCCCCTGCTTCTCAGAGTTTTAGAATTTACCCGGGAAGCTTGTTAAAAATGCAAGTTCTGATTTAAGTCCAGGGTGGGGCCTAAGACTCTGAATTTCCAATAAGTTCCTAGCCAGTGTTGCTGGTCCATGGAAAAAGGCTCTCAGGAAGAAAGAGAGGGAGGGAAGGAGAGAAACAGAGGCTCAGTGAAGTTAGGATGGCTTTCCTTAAACTATAAAGCTAGTTGGTGGCAGAGTTGGGACTCCAGCCAAGGGGCCTGGCTCCCAGCCCAAAGCTCTTTGAACCCTCAGCAAGCCCAAGGATTTTAAGGCATACTTACATCTTGAATTCCTAATTGCAAAGGGGGCCTAGGACCCTGGCCTCTGCCCCCTGCGGATCACTGGTACTTGGTTGCCACTGGGCCTTCCCATTACAGGGCACAACAGTTCATGTTTTGAAAGACAAGAGTGGTTTCCCCAGAATTTCCAAACCCCCTTCTAGCACAAACACTGAAGTATATAATCTCCACCCTCTCTGCCTCACGAACAAGACCCCTCTAGCGGCTCTAGGGTTTGCCATTATGGTATTTGTTATAACGAGTGTCAGCTCATTTGTGCGGCCTCCACCCTTCCCCAGGCTTCCTTGTTCCTTTCTTTCTGACACAGGAGATGAGAGCTAGACCTGTTGGAAACTTTTACAAATCTCTCTGTCCCGCCTTCCACCCAATAGAAATCCCTTTCTGAAAGACGATCATGCATCCTCCATTTGAGCAAACAACAGGAAGCTCAGCACTTGCAAAGCCCTTTCCACTCTCAGGCAGCTCCTTCCATGAGAAACGGCTTTCTCCTCTGAACTGGGTTTCCTTTCCTGGCATCTTCCACCAACCGAGGCAATAAATGTTAGTAATGGCCATAACTGCCTCACAAGCAAAGAGGGTCCTCCAATTTACAAAGCGACATTTTAAAAACATTTATCAAGCTGGGTGTAGTGGCTCATGTTTGCTAATCCCAGCACTTTGGGAGGCTGAGGCAGGAGGATCGCTTGAGGCCAGGAGTTGGAGACCAGCCTGAGCAACACAGGGAGACACCATCTCTAAATAAATTTTTTTAAATTTATCTGTAACAGACACTGTGCTAGCGTTTTCATGTATGTGACACTTCATGTAATACAACCATACCCCGAAGTACAAAGCACCAATCCTCATTCTACCAATGCATAAACTGAGGCTCAGAGGGTTTAAATGACTTGCCCAAAGAGAGAGGCCCCATAAGCTTCAGAGGCCATGTCCTTTATAAGACACCACAGTCGCACATCCTCCTGCTACTCAAAAACCCTTCAGAGTCCTTTCATTTGCATCTCCCATCCTGCTCTTCTTTTACAAATGAAACACTCCTATCCCTTTAACCTTCCTTTCTAGTAATCACAAGAATGCTAACCATCATGAATGGAGGTCATGTTACATCCCAGGCACTCAATATGTAGACTAAGTTAATCTCCATAACAACCATCAAATAATTCCATTTTATAGATGAGCAAACTGCTGAAACTCAGAGAAGCAATTTGTTCAATGGCACTCAATTAGTGACTGTCAAAAAGCTAGGATTCAGCTTGGGTCTCTGTGAAAATGAGAAAAATGCTAGAGTGAAGGAATGCAACGAAGGCAATGGGAATCCAAGTAAGGAATGATGCACACTTGGACATTCTCCCATTTGAACCGTCTTTCTGGTGTTGGCACGCTTGACCTCTTCTACAGAATGACTTAGCACAAAAGGGGGCTCTTCAGGGGAGTCTAATCTGGGCAGGGGTGGCCATTGTTCTGTGGAGGTCATTTGACACCAATTCTAAGTACATTTTTTAAAAGCAAGATTTGGCTCAGGCAGGGTGGCTCATGCCTGTAATCCCAGCACTTTGGGAGGCTGAGGTGGGTGGATCACCTGAGGTCAGGAGTTCGAGGCCAGCCTGGCCAACATGGTGACACTCCGTCTCTACTAAAAATACAAAAGAATTAGCCCGGCGTGATGGCGCGTGCCTGTAATCCCAGTTCCTCTGGAGGCTGAGGTAGAAATATCGCTTGAACCCGGGAGGCGGAGGTCGCAGTGAACCAAGATGGTGCCACTGCACTGCAGACTCCAGCCTGGGCAACAAAGTGAGACTCTGTGGTAAAAATAATAAAATAAAATAAGTAAATAAAAATAAATAAAAACAAGATTTATTGGGATATAATTAACATACAATGAACTGCAGATATTTGAACTATATAATATATGAGTTTCATATATCACCACAATCAAGATGTTTTAAACATGTGTCATAAATCCAAAAAGGATGGCATCTCAAGGCTGGGCACGGCAGCTCACGCCTGCAATCTCAGCTATAGTCCAGACTGTACAGAACCTGTCGTCCTCCCTTTGCTTCTAGATTCCCATACAACTTTGCGGTTTGATGATCAGTTTTGATCTTAAGGCCCAGAATCCACATTTACAGCCCTGTTTGGCTTTTTCAGATTCCCATGAACCCCTCATGTGAGTTCAAGAATACATTTACCGTCAGATTCTTGGGGCTGAAAGATAAAGTAAATGTAACCCAAGGGTGTTGGTCCTCCAGCTGAGGGTTCCTGACTCAGCAAGGATGAAGTAACTCACCAGAGCCTCCAAGAAGATGCTCAGGAGACAGGAGGGAGGCACAGGGCCAATGTCCACTTCCCACCCTCCCATCTGCTTCCTATTCCCTCACTTTTTCTTCCTAAGGCCGCACCTCCCAAATACACTGCATCAAAGGAGAAAAACACCCCAAAGCAGTGAGGATTTTGAGGGAAGGGCTCTGAATTCAGACAGAAGCCTGCTCTAGGACTGCCTCTAAATGGCCTAAGTACCATCTTTACCCTAAGACGGTCTATATTCCCCTCCATCAAATTAATCTCTGTCTACTCTCTCATGAACTTTCTGTTATGGCAACAATCACCTGCTACCCTTCAAAATGTGATGATTCACACATCTTTCACTTTCTAGACCGTAAGCTCTCTGCAGCCATGGTGCTGATCTGATTCTTCTTTGCATCCTCTGTAGCGGCTAACGTGGTACTCAGTGGGTACTTGTTGAATGGACAAGTGAATGACCTACCTTGTCCTAAACCTCAGGGCAGGACTTAGAGCTGAGCATAGCACTACCCTTGTGTCTCTCACACCACATGCTACGCGTGGAATATGAGTGGACACCCAAAATGGTGATTCTCTGTGTGTGTGTAATATAAATAGAACTAGGGAGATGCATACACTGTCTCCTTCACATACAATGTTAACTCTCCCAAAGGTAAGGCTTGGCTTAACAGATTGTCACTGGTAAGTCTGCTTCCTGGGAGAGATATAGCTCCCACCTCCAACAGTACCAGCAGGTGCTAAGGAGCCAGGAGAGAACAGGTATTCAAAGTGGGAGGGAATAGTTACCAGCATGGAGGTGGAATCTCCGCAACTAGGGTCCCATTGGCTCAATCTCAACCTTCAAAGGAAGCCTATGGAGTCGTGGTGCCTGCGGCCGCCAGCCTACCATTTCCCCTTCCAGAGATATTCATTCCTTGAACAAAAGGCCCAAATGGTTAAGCTTCCTTAGGTCACTCAAAGAGGAATCTTTACACATCAGACAAAATGTGATTTCAAATATAGACATGCCTAAATGAGTGTTTCTCAATTTGGTTTTAATTTCAGGAACTAGTATAATTTCAAAAATAAATTTGGGCACAAAATCAGGGGCTCACTTTTAAAATATTATTGACTATAGTTTTAAACAAAAATACAAACTACCATCCTGCTGTTAAAATTATTCCTAAAAAGAAGCAGAATTTCAAAAACAAAAATAAAAAGGCAGTTGGCAACCATTCATGGACAGCTCTCTGTTTCTAATAGCTAACACTTAGTGAGTGCTAAATGTACACTAGGCACTATTCTAAGTATTTTAATAATATCTCATTTTATACCCATGCAGATTACATCATCTATATTTTTTCTTATTCCCATGTGAGGCAATGAGAATGTCAAGGACCGGTGGCATAAGTTTACACTCTAGTGCTAGGCAATCGCTAGCATTTTGGTAACTAACTAAAATAAGATTTCTTGAGGCAACTCGCAGCTGCAGGAATCAAAACTTCTATGAATCTTCAAGTTTCCATGTGATGCAAAGGCCAGGATGTGATCTTTCGGAGTGAGCTCTTCTATGCAGGATCTAGATGACAAACATCTTCCTCTCAAGTTTTCTTCAATATATGGAACCCACTGAGTTCTGTTCCCAGTTGACAAATGAGACTCATGAGATTGTAGCCTTTGTCAACCAATGCAGTGCCCCAAATAAATAATTGTTGAGCCAAAGCTAAAATACTTCAAACTGTATTTTTGCATAAGAGATAAAGGAAGAGCAAGCTGGGTGTGGTGACTCACACCTGTAGTCCCAAGTACTCGGGAGGTTGAGGAGGGGGGATCTCTTGTTCAGCCCATCAGCCTGGGTGATATAGTGAGACCTCGTGATATTGTTTGGCTCTGTGTCCTCACTCGAATCTCATCTCGATTTGTAATCCCCACCTGTCGAGGGAGGGACCTGTAATCCCCACATGTTGAGGGAGGAAGGTGATTGGATCATGGGGTGGTTCCCCCATGCTGTTCTCATGATAGTGAGTGAGTTCTCGTGAGATTTGTTGGTTTTGTAAGTGTTTAGAAGTTCCCGTTTGCTCTTCTCTCTCTTGCTGCCTTGTGAAGGTGTCTGTTTCCCCTTCCACCATGATTATAAGTTTCCTGAGGCCTCCCCAGCCATGCAGAACTGTCAAACCTTTCTTTATAAATTACCCAGTCTCAGGGAAGTTCCTTATAGCAGTGCGAAAATGGACTAATACACCCCATCTCTTAAAAAATTTTTAATAAGTCAGGCATGGTAGTGCAGGCCTACAGTCCCAGCTACTAGACAGACAGGGGCAGGAGGATCACTTGATCTCAGGAGTTTGATGCTGCTGCAAACCATGATTGCATCACCATACTGCAGCTGGGGTGGCAGAACGAGATCTTGTCTCTAAAACACGAAGGAAAAGCTACCACTTTTGCAATAGAGAGCCCCTTTCCCCTCTTTCCTTGCCTCCACTTCCAAAGCACAGGCATTAACATTCCACTAGTATGTTTCACAATGAGCACACACCAGATGGCTTTAACCCGGGGAAGGAATGCTGGGTTGAGTAACAGGGCGATGAATTAAATAACCCTTCGCTAACCATTTAAAAAATCCTAAGTGCTTCCTGATTTCTAGATTAAAGAAAATTCATGGGGCCTTAAAAAAGACAGAATATAAAGGACCTTAGGTTGCCGCCTCTAGACAGAAGGGCCTTTAGAAGATGGATAGACCAGCAAGGTCAACCATTGCAAAAGTCTCCCCAGAGACCGGACACATCTTCCAAAGGAGGAAGGAGGCAGCAAGTGGGAGGATCTTTTATTTATTTTTTCAATGCTTAACAAAACAGCCCAAGGAGACCCAATGTCAGGCCTACATGTGAAATATTATATTTTGGGAGATAGTGCTTTAGTGTCCAGACGGAAGAGAAGCTGGATTCAGGATAGGATGTGGCCTAGTCCAGATAATCTTTGCCTGTGTCATCCCTTCCCATTAACCGTCTTGCTTCCCTGAATAAGAAGGAAGGAAACAATCAGAATTTCCTATTATACATAGTATGCAACAGAAAACTTTTAAACTATTTCCTGTTCCCAAAAAACTGGATGTGGAAGGAGATATGAGGTAGCACAGTGTAGTAGAAGGAGCATGTAATTACGTGTAGGAAGAATTTGCTCTGAAGGACAATGTCTTGGCCTCTATGTAAGGTGGAAAGGTTAAGGTTAAACTTAAGAAGTTTACATTTCTAGGCCTGAAATTTTTATTTTTTGTTTTATTAAAAAAAATATTTTTTGAAACAGGGTCCCACCTGTTGCCCAGGCTGGAATGCAGTGGCGAGATCACAGCTCACTGCTGCCTTGACTTTCCAG